GTTTATGGGAGCCTATGAATCCAGGCCAGCAACTCGCATTGCAAGCAGCATTAGATCAAATAACAGGTCAAGATTAATGTTAGCACAATTAGTTATTTGTACCTGTATTAGTCTACTATTGCAGTAGTTATTCAACTATGTTTGAGAGGTCCCCACAATCACCCCCAGGTTCGACAAGTCACTGGGAGGATTCACAGGACTTAACACTTATATTTGTACTCATGGCTATGACTTATTACAGTGCAAGGATGCAAAACCCAACCAGCAAAAGGAAAAGGCACTTCAGGCTAAATCCAAGAGAAACCACGAGCAAACTTCCAAGTGTCTTCTCCCAGGGCAGTTGCAGAGGATGTGCTTAATTCTGCCTGCAATTAGTTGTGACAGCATGTGTGAAATGTTGCCAACTATGGAAGCCCATTGGAGACTCAGCACCCATGGTCACTCAGGCAGCCTCTGCCTAGCACCTACCCAAATCCCAGATTCCCAGAAGGAAAGTAGGTATTCAGCATAAACCATATTGTTTGCACAAATAGTTTAGACACAATTAGCTAAGTTCCCAGAAATGAGCCAAGGGTCAACCTTGCAAATAAATAGGTCTTTTGAAGGATAGCAGTTTAGGCCACCTACGTTAACTCTTTTCTGCATAACCACACAACAAACAACTGCAAAAATCTCAGTATCTTGTAACAGCAAGTATTTATTTTTCTCAATTAATTGCAGAGTTTGGTTGTGGTAGGCTAAACTTCAGGTATTAGACTGAATTCAGATCTGTTCCACAAATCTCCACAATTCCAGGACCTGTGGCTTTCTGCAGGCATGCTCTTCTCATGGCAGGTGACAGAAATCGAAGAGAGCAAGCTAAATCATGCAAACACCTCTAAGGTTCTGCTTACATTACACCCTTTTAACATTCCATCAGCCAGAATCACAGCCAAAACCAACATTAGTAGGGTGAGAAAATAGCCTTCAACAGTTCTAGTAGAGAGAACTGCAAAGTCACATGGCAAAGAATATGCATGTACAAATTATTTATAGGAAAGGAATAATTAATTGGAAACAAGAATCCAATCTACCACAGTACCCTAGGAAACTCACCAAACTCAGAGAGCAAACTGAGGTTAGAAGCAGCACATTATCACTTTTGAAAATGAAATGTCTTGGTTTGTTTACTAGTTTATTCCCACACTTATACCCAAAGGAGCCTTGATACAACCAGGAAAACATATGCAATTTTAGTAATATTCTATATACATTTTCAGTAATAATGAAAGTATTAATGGCTAACATTAATAAGTACTTACCATGTGCCAAGAGTGTTACATGCATGATTTCACCTAGCCCTTAGTTGGTGAGATTATTATCCCTATTTTATAGATGAGAAAATGGAGGCCTAGAGACTTGCTGAACACCATAAAGCTTGTAAGTGGTGAAGCCAGAATCTGAATCCAGGCAGCCTAGATCCGAAGTTGTACTTTTAACTATTACAATATTTTAAGGGCTGTGCTTGGGCACATATGCCACATTGCAACGCTTCAATACTGGGATATGGAAGTATGCCACAATTGTGCAAGTACCGTCACATTTTCATATGACAGTCAGTTCTCATGGACTCAGAAAGCTAAAATGCAATTTTCAGGAAAAGAAAATTTTTATCCTACTCACTAAAATATCAAGAAAACTTAAGTTTTTCCTCACAGAAACATTATCAACATACCAAAGTATTAAATTTCAATGTTATTTAAATGTCAATATTTCTTGTCTTTGAAAAAATGTTTTATGAACACATATCATTTCTCAAAATAATTTTTCAACGTTTCTAAACCACCATACCTTTCTACTTTCTAGCCTAGATAAAGCAACTGCTACATGTACTATCTCCTACAATACTGTAACAACTAGGTTTTCAGTCAAGGAAAAATTATCACAAAAGAAAATGACAAAAATCTATTTTCTTTTCTTTCCTTTTTTCTTTCTTTCTTTCTTTCTTTTTTTTTTTTTTGAGACAGAGTCTCATTCCGTCGCCCAGGCTGGAGTGTAGCGGCATGATCTCGGCTCACTGCAACCTCCGCCTCCTGGGTTCAAGCGATTCTCCTGCCTCAGCCTCCTGAGTAGTTGAGACTATAAGCGAGTGCCACCATGCCCAGCTAATTTTTGTATTTTTAGTAGAGACAGGGTTTCGCCATGTTGTCCAGGCTGGTCTCAAACTACTGATTTCAGGTGATCCACCCATCTGGGCCTCCCAAAGTGCTGGGATTACAGGTGTGAGCCACCACGCCTGGCCTGAAAATCTTCTATTTTCATTAAACAAATTCATTCAAGACTGTGTTAAACAATTTTACAATTAGGAGGCTTCTCCATTACAAAGCAAGAATTCCATAATGCAAATACACTTGTATTGCATCTAGAGATTCCAGTCCCTTCCTCCATGGTTATGGGAAGGTACACTTTAATTATGGACATTCATTTCTCTCCAATTGTTTTCTGAGCTTATGAACAATGAAAGCATGATAGCATTTATCAGGAATCGTTAAGGACCTAATGTTAAAAGGCACACTACTGCAATAAGCAGTGGTCTGCCAAGTGTCTCATCAGAAGATGAGCAAATGCTATTGCAGGAGTGAAAGTCGAGTCTATCCAGTAAAGCTGATAAAGGCTTTGTCTTAGGGAATTCAGAGGATTACCGACAGCACAAAACATTATCTAGATGTCCTCAGCATGTGAGAAACAAGATATACATAAGAGAACATTACTGTCCTCAGAATACCATAACCAAACAAAGGTGGAAATGAACAAAAGGACATTGCCAAGTGCCAACTATCTGAAAACAAATCTGAAACAAGTGTAGTGTGATATCTTAATCCAAATATTAACAAAGAGGAGATGCAGACTGCATTTTCCCATAATGTCCAAGGCATTTGGAACCAAGGGACCATTATTTAGGGAAGGAGGAAAGTGCTGAGTTCAAGTGCTTTTACTTTTGTTTTTGTTTTTAACACATCCTCACTTATTCTCTCTGCTAGTTTTCCAAGAGCTCTGCCATTTTTTCGAAAGGTGTGACTACCCTGGCTTTTGAGAAATTCCCAAATCTAAGCATGGGAAAGTTCCTTACAGGACATCAAGGGAGGACAAGCTCTACCCACCTTGGAAGAATTCCTGTTATGGCATTTATAACAAGTAGCCTTCCAGAGTCTGCTTGAATACTTCCAATGATGGGGAGGTGGAAGGTTTGTTATCCATGGCCCAGCCTTTTTCCATTGCTGGTGAATTCTGACTATGGAAAAATTTTTCCTGTTGATGAAACCTACATTCCTAAAATATCAACCAATATTCTCACCATCTCTGTATTCTTGAAATTTCAACCCACTGGTATAGTTCTAGCATCCACAAACAATTCAAATTCCAACTCTTCTGTTCCCTAGTTGATTCACATAGTAAGTTTCATTAATTTGTGACTTGCAGGGGCAGCTGGAAGAGTGGGAGGGGAAAAGTGTGACACGGCAATGGAAAAGGAAATGGAAGACATTTGGTTCACAAGCATATTTTATGTTAGATGCAGTGATAAATACAACTCAAGGCCACAAAACGTGTGTATAATCATACATATGTGAGTATATGTAGATGTACATATATATGTGTAAGAATATGTGAGTATACGTGTATACATGTATATGTGTAAGTACGTGTGTGCATATGTATGAATATGTATATAAAATGCCAAGTCAGTCAACAAAAATCTTCAAACTATGTTCAATGAGAAATGCAAACATGGAATTTTATGATATTATTTTTAAGGAGAATATAAAATACAAGAGCTAAGCATCGCAGGAGTTGTTAACACACTAGAGAGGAAAAAGAATTCAATCAGCTTATGTCTACATTATGGTAAAAATATTATCATCTCAAAATACCTAAATCATTATGCTATGCTTATTATCTAAACATTTGCTATAAAGTAATGAAGTTCTCAACCACTAAATAAAAATCAATGAATAGATCATGCTACCATGTCCCTTTCTGTAAGTTACTGAGAGGATTCTTGGCAGGGAGGGGTGTAGGCCAGCGATGCTGCACCTCCCTGAGTCTGGTCCAGGATTTACCCTGGCAGTCCCTCTCTGCACTCTGCCTAATTCTAGGCATCACAGAATCAGAAACCAGCAACTCCTCACGAGAAGTCTGGCTACCCTGAGGTGAACACAGCCCCTGCTGGCAGGATGCTCAATTATTAAATAATAGTTAAGATATGTTAATTAGATTTCAAGACAGGAAGGAGAACAAACACATACAGAGAAATTTTCTGCAAATGCAGAAACAAACAAGAAAGCAGGGAAGGGGAGCTTTGGGTAAACTTTGTCAGGATATCCAGCTAACAGACCACAATCTAGAACCAATCAAAATGTTATTCAATTCTATTCATGAAAAAGAATAAAACTGTATTCAGAACTAATAAGGTAAAATAATAAACCTATATAAAAAGTTTTTGTTACCATAAATTCAGACAAAAATAACTGAATAATGTAATAATGATCATTTTCTATGTAATACATAGACTCATTCCAAATTGTCTGGTAGAGTACAAAAATTATTAATTTTGATCCTTGGGCCAAATTTGGCATGCCATCTGTTTTGGGGGAAAAAATAGTTGAGTTGGAACATGGCCACACTCATTCATTTGTGGTCTATGGCTGTTTTCACACTACAATGTCAGAGATGAGTAGTTGTGACAGAGACTACTATGGCTCACAAAGCCTAAAATATTTACTGTTTGTTCCCTTATAGAAAAAGTTTGCAGACACCTGCCCTACATAATCATCAACCTTAAAATAAACATGTAGGCCACATCACTAAATCGTGCTAGCCTTATAAAGCAGAAAGAACTTTACTTGCTATATAATGCTCGACCTTTGTTACAAACTAACCACAAAAAGACAGATTTGCAAAAAAATGTTCCAGGTGTAGTGAGGGTTTACACTTTGGAGAAATGCAGCAATGATTCTTCCTACCTGTTTTTCCTCCTCGTCATCTGAAGTGTAATTGGCATCACGGACATTTCCCCAGAGTTGGTAACTTTTCAACTTTTCTTCAGTGGACGGATTACTCTTCTCTTCTGTTGTGTTTTCCTCATCACTTTCTGGGTTATTTTTCCATTCTTTCATCATCTCTAATACATTGGTTGGTCTCACGGAAGAAAGTTTATTGCCCTAATATTGACAATCAATTTTTGGTGTTATAAACAGCTTAGATAATTGAGACGATACCTACATCATTTAGCGAGATAGTCTCCCAAATTCAGTAACAGTCACATGGAAAAGATTATAATGCTGAATAAATATGAAAACTTCTGATGACCACTGGAGTACACTCCCTGTACTGACATGGCTCACACCCGTTGCATGATATCACTTGTAATAGGTCCAAGTTAAGAGGGGAAATATTCAGGCTTGAAAGAACAATGCAGCATGCTTGTGCAAAGAACACTACACAGGGCAATTTCCTGGAACCCAAATACCCCCTATAGTGCTGTTCTTAGAAAATTGAGAGGGAGGTTGAAAGAACTAAAGAGGTTGGCCAAAGGCCAGTGGGTCCAGTGCTAAGGAGAAGTCTATACAACATCCAAATATCTAGGGCAAAAAAAAATCTAAATTCAGTCAACTAGTCAAGCACTATGTCTAAGAATATAGGTACTTAATTTGAAATCCCTTACCTGTCTGGAAGATTTAAATATAATGTGGTCATTTGATTATAACTGACTTGGCACAGTGTTCTTATCCCAGCATATGATGATACATACCAAAATTGACCATTTTATATTAACCGTATTTTCCAAAATAGAATACCCTATGTAATGTGCCGAGAAATACATGAATGCAAGCTCAAATAGCTCCTGCTTGATTAGGTGTGTCTTAAATATTTTTGTTCTTACCTCATATTGTTAGAAAAAATTTAGACCAAAAAAATGGATCACATTTAGATTAAAATGAGAAGTTCAGGTGTGGGCACAGCTATGAAGTGATTCTAAATTACTCTGGTATATGGATGTATTGAAATGTTTAGCATCAGTGACATAGAAAACCATGAGACAGGGTATTTTAAGGGTACCTATCTGAATACACTGTTGAGGACTTGTTGAGTTTAATGTATTTGTGGCTAAAGACATAGACAAACACTAAATGTGGAATGCTAATAACTAAATGAGGATCACTATGCAATTAATTCCCTGTGGTTCTTCTCTGTTCCCTTGTTTTAAGAAGCTCAGTACTCCTACCATGTTCATAGCATCCCATTACATCTCACGCTGGTTTTGCACTTGTTCCTCCCTTACCTACTTACTCCTAGAATGCCCTTGCCATTTCTTCCTGCCAGTCCATAGCAAGAGCCTACATTTCCTCGAAGGTTCAATTTAAGATTCATTTCTGTCAGGTATCCCAGAACTCCCAATTATGTAGTCAACTCAAGTGAAAACAGACAGTGGCTCAGCGACAATAACCATTAAAGAGCTGAAATCATGTAGAATGGTAGATTGTCTCAGAGCACTCATCTGAAGGGGTTCTGCTCTCCAGGGCTCTGCTTGGTCCCTATGATCCATCTCTCCTCTCTTACAACTTCTTGGCCTCATTCTGACCTCTAACTTAATTTTCATAAAATCAGTGACCAGACTCCTAGAATGCAAGTACATACAACTTTGCCTCAATTTGATTCTTTCACTAGCAGAAACTGACAATTTGACACATCTAAGTCTGCAATCCCAGTCCCCAGTGGCTCCTCCCTGAAAAGCCCTCCCCAGGTTAAGTCTTTGGAAACTGTGGTAGTGATTAAGGCTACTTGCCCAACATTTCTTCCTTCTAGGCTCATGGTAGAATTTCACTTCTCTATCCTCTTTGGGATGTGACCATGTGCCTTACTTTGGCCAGTGATTCATGACTGGAAACTGTATGTATCACTTCTGGGTGAAAACTTAAAGAGATAGTATGCAATTAATCATGTTTCCAATTCCTGAACTGGTAATTACAGAAGCATAGAGATGGAGTCTCCCTCAGCTTGGGTTCCTGAGTAAGGACAAAGTGAAACAGAACCTCCTCCTCTCCCCCGAGTCAATTGGCCATGGAAGGTACTAACAGCACTGAGATTTGGATGTCATTTGTTATCACAGCATAATCTAGCTTACCTCGATGTAGATACCAAAGCAAACATTTACATTCTGTAAATCACCTCTAAGAGGCCTTAAAAAGAGTGACTTCATTGCAAAATCATCATGTCCAACAAAATTATAATTACTACAGAACTCATATGTAACCAATATGATGTGACAGCTCATTTATTTAGGCAGTTCTTGCTCTGCACAGTCCTGATATGCCTGAATTTCAGTTATAATTTACTTAAACAGCATTAGTCCCCCAAGAGCAGAGTTTAAATTTCAGTCAATATGGTATATGAACTAAAACTCCATAAAGTTCAAACTGCACTGCTAGTTCTTCAGTCCACAAAGCAAACAAACGCATATCATGATCAGTGACCAATTTTGTCACTTCTCTCAAAGGCTATTGGTGATCAGACACTGGGCATCTGCTATTCAGTCCACACACAGACAGCAAAGTGTGTAGTTGTGTTGCTTCCTTTTCTCCCAGGGAATTAGCCAACAAAGATGAAAGTGCAGCAAAGAAAATAAAAGTGATATACTGAAAGTGAAAACCGAATAAAATATGAATGGAGTAATAGAAGAAATCGCTGACTGGGAATGCTGACACTACCACCATTCGACAGAGTATTTGCCAAGGCACAAAAAAGATGCTCCCTCTGTCTTATAAGTTATGTGGTAAGAAGAAGGTAAGTACTATTTAAATGAATCTTAAGTATTTTATTTAAAAAGACACTTTAATTCTCAATATTTCTAACATTCTAAATTACAGTGTACTAAATGAATATCAGCTTTACTTTTGTCTCATTTCCCTATATATTTATAACTAACAGAGAGGTACTAATATTTTGACAAAAATGTAAAGGGCATGAAACAATCATAACTTTTCACATTGATTATTGAGATCTTTTTTTTTTTCAGTTTCAACCTGTTCTGCCATTTTACTGTCCTACACTACTGTGTTACAAAGCAAGGATTGCCTATATTATTTTGAATCTGCATCTCTAGCAATCTTTCAAATGCCTGGTTCACATACACATACACCCAAGAGCTTGGTAGCTGATATTCTACATGTCTAAAGGAGACTGTCTTCGTACTTAAATAAATGTTTCTCATTCTATAGAGACTGTGGAGAAAAGCAAAGGATCCAGAATAAGAGTGTTATCCTATTTCCTATGTGGAAAGTTTTAGCTCTTTGCCTCCTATACTCACTTGCAATACCAAGCCTGTACTAGGTGGTATAGAGTCCAGGCTTTCCCTGTTGTCTAGAGTCCATCTGATAACTTACTATACCACCTACTTCTTGCTTGCTAGCAGTTGAAGGATAAATTGTATCACATACTTGGACTAACCAATAATAAGTGGTCCACAACAATGTATCACGAGCCTTCTAGTTCAACAGAAATTACAAATGAAGCAACCAAACAAAACTGGGGTAGAACTGTTAGGGCAGACACTGTAGATGTATATGTCACTTCACCATCAGAACACTAACCTCTGAACTCCTTTTACTGGCTGCATCTAGGTGATCAAATACTGAACTCATCAATTACAAAATAACAAATGACAAGAAAGCAGTAGCAACAGTTTGATCATCTGAAGCTATCACAGGTAGAGACCCAGCCTTTTGGATAAATTTCCACTTGCTTAACCAACAGATAGTTGAGACTATTCACTTAGTATTGAACAACTAGAAAAATGAAACTCAGGCAAGAGAAGAACTGCTTGAATACTAAGACTTGAATTTAATCCTTTAGTAGACAGGCCCATAATGGAGACCCAATCACATTTCCTCATCTAAAAAATGCTGCCTTTTAAGGGATAGTGCCTATCAGTGCTTTGTAAACAGTAAATACTTAATAAGCACTTTAAAATAAATGAATGAATGACATGTATGAGCTGGGGTGAGATGGTATCAACCCAAATCAGCAAAGCTAAAGGAAACATTCTGGATCTTTAGCATGCAGTCACCATTCTCTGTTTTTGCAAGGAGCTAGAATAGTTTATTTTGTAATGTTCCTAGGAGTAAATTTTTTCAATAGAAAAATGGAACACTTTATTTAAAAACATATAAAAGAATGGCCAACTTCACAAAATAAAATCCAAGTCAAAACAATGTGGTGCCAATTTTCACCTAATAGATAGACAAAAATTTAAGTTTGATATTCCCTGTGTGGGTGAGGGTGTGGGGGAACAAGCACTCTCACTTACTTGCTTTTTAAGAGAAGGTAAATTAGCAATAATTGATCAAAATGTAAAATGCACATTCTCTCTGGCCAGTAATTCCACTGTTAAAAATGTATCTTATATAAACTGGCACAGTATGCAAACACATATTTACAAGAACATCTGTTGTACTACGATGTAACAGAAAAGATCTGAAACAATTTAAATATTCACAGGGACTATTTACAAAATAATTTATAGTTTGGAATACAATGTTGGTTTTTAATTTTTTAAAAATTTTTAACTGTTTTTAGGTTCATGGGTACATGAGCAGGTTTCTTATACAGGTAAACTCATGTCACTGGGGTTTGTTGTACAGATTATTTTGTCACCTAGTTACTAAGCCTACTATCCAATAGTTATTTTTTTCCAGTCCTCTCCCTCCTCCCAACCTCAAGTAGTCCCAGTGTCTGTTGTTCCCCTCTTTGTATCCATGAGTTCTCATCATTTAGCTCCCACTTGTAAGTGAGAACATGTGCTATTTGGTTTTCTGTTCCCACATTAGTTTGTTGAAGATAACAGCCTCTAGTTCCAGCCATGTTCCCATAAAAGACATGATCTTATTCTTTTTTATGGCTGCATAGAATTCCATGGTGTATATGTACCACATTTTCTTTATCCAATCTGTCATTTATAGGCATTTAGACTGATTCCATGTCTATGATATTGTGAATAGCACTGCAATGAACATTCATGTGTATATGTGTTTATGGAAGACTGATTTATATTCCTCTGGGTATATACCCAGTAATGGGATTGCTGAGATAAATGGCAGTTCTGTTTTTAGCTCTTTGAGGAATCGCTACACTGCTTCCCACAATGGTTGAACTATTAATAATT